CGTCTGTAATCCCAGCACTTCGGGAGGCTGAGGCAGGTGAATCACTTGAGGTCAGGAGTTCCAGACCAGCCTGACCAACATGGAGAAACCCCGTCTCTACTAAAAATACAGGGCATGGTGGCACACGCCTTTAATCCCATCTACTCAAGAGGCTGAGGCAGCAGAATCACTTGAACCTGGGAAGCAGAGTTTTGCAGTGAGCTGAGATGTCACCACTGCACTCCAGCCTGGGCAACAGAGTGAGACTCTATCTCAAAAAAAAAAAAAAAAAAAAAAAAGACCCTATTTCCCAATTTTAAAGGTCACATTCACAGATACCAGAGGTTAGGCATTCAGCAAGTCTTTTAGGGAGATGTAAATCAACCCACCAAACCGTGGATATCTTTATTTGCTCTTCATTTTACCTAAAATGTTTCTCATAATTTAGTATTATGTAAGATATTTCTGCAGGATCCCGGAAATTGCCACTTCTCAAATTAAGAAAGCTTTATTCTGTTCTCTGTTTACTAAGCATTTATTTTTTGTGCTTGTCTTCATTTTTAAATGAATAATGAGTGTTGAACAGATATATCTCGTAAGTGTAATGTAGAGAGGACAAAAACAAGTTGCGGAAGGATATAGACTATGTGGTAACATTCCTGTAAAGTTTCCAGATGTGCAAAACAAACCAACATAGGTCAGGCGCACTGGCTCACGCTTGTAATCCCAACACTTTGGGAGGCTGAGGCGGGTGGATCACCTGAGGTCAGGAGTTCAAGACCAGCCTGATCAATATGGTGAAACCCCGTCTCTACTAAAAATATAAAAATTAGCTGGGCGTGGTGGCGTGTGCCTGTGGTCCCAGCTATACAAGAGGCTGAGACAGAAGAATTGCTTGAACCTGGGAGGCGGAGGTTGCAATGAGCCGAGATCATACCACGGCACTCCAGCCTGGGTGACAGAGTGAGACTCCTTCCCCCGCCAAAAAAAAAAAAAATCCAAAATATTGTCCTTGGGTACATGCATAACTATTTTAAATAGGATAAACACCAAGTTTGGGAGGGCGGTTAACTTAGGGAGGGGAATAGGAGCAGGGTGGGGTACAAGGGATCTCTACTGTATTTGTTATGATTTGTTGTGTGATGATGCTTTACTTTTAAGGTGATCTGAAATACATGAAGATGTCAAAACTTGAAAAAGCTGAGTGGAAGGCATAAGTGTTTATATTTGTTTCTACATACCTCTTTGCATGCTTCGTAATGAAAAAGCAAAGCCAAAATTCACAGCGACAATGAATGTGCCACATGCCCTTGCAGTGGGCTGGCTCCCCTGGTTACAGCAATCCTCTCATCTCTGCAGAGAATGGAAACCAGAGTGGTCATGGCCTTGCAGCTGAATCTTGTGACTTTCACCTTCCCACATTCATCCAAACCTCTTGTCCCTGCTCTTCAGGTCCTTGTATGATGTGACCCCAGCTGACCCCCTAGCCCCAGATGATTGTCCCTGAATTAGTCTCAGCTTCTCCAACAAGTCCTGTTCCCTTATCCTCTATTCTTGCATGTGCTGATACCATATTGAGAACATTCTTTAATGTATTGATCTCCTCTGGAATAATTTTGAATCCTTCCTCAAGCATCACCTCCTCCAGGAAGCCCTCTCGGATCCTCCAGGCTCAGCCAGTGTCTCCAGTGGTCCTCACAGTCTCTTGTACTTCCCAGACTCATCATATTGTCTTCAAATTCCCTTGTTACATGTTCCCCGCCCACCTGAGAAACAGGCCTCCCTTCCTTGTCCTGGGCCAGGGATAGAGGTTAGAGGTCTGCTGCCTCCTTCTAGGACCTCTCTTCCCCTCTCAGTTACCCTGCAGCGGGGTCTGGGCACAGGACATTGATGGGCAACCTTCTGGCTTCCTCGCTAAGCTGGACAGCTCTGCCCCAGCTTGCCAAGGCAGCTTCAGCCACAGGTGTATCCAGCAGAGCCCCACTTTCCTGCCCCCTTGCCTTTGCCCTGGCTGTGCCCTGTGCCTGGTGTGTCCTTCCTTTCTCGGTCCATGGTACACATGTTGTCGAAGCCACACATCTCATGCTATCTCTTCCAGAAAACCTCCTCCGATTTCCCAAATGAACTAATTCTATCTCCTCCGTAAGGGCTGATGAAACACTGCCATCTAAATCCTTTCCCCAGAACACATTCTGATGGTGGCCTTGGACGGAGTTTGTGCAATCCTTGTGGTTTTTTCCGATTTCCTCCCATTGAACACCTGTCCCTGAAAGTCTCGTAATGAAGAGGGTGTGCCCTCCAAAAAGTTCTGCCCTACGGTTAAGCCTGCTGCTAAGTCAGCTTTCAGCGCCTGTTGACATGGCTCTGTTTCTGATGATGAAAGCAAGATGAGTCAAATGGTTTGGGAACAAGGGAACTTCTAGAAGGAAGAGTCTAGGAAGCTAAGTTTTGTTAACCCTTCAGTGTCTCCTAAGCATTGCTAACTTTTAATGTTTAACCCTTCCTCCTCCCTCTGTACCATAGACATGCATTCTGATGTGTTTGATACATGCCCTTACATTAGTTTTTTAAAGAAAATACGCTTACGTTTGCCTTTCTTGTTGCTATAAATTTATGGGGTACAGGTGTAATTTTGTTGCATGCATAATTTCATAATAGTGAAGTCATATCCTTAATGTTTATACATACTTGGAGTGTGTGCGTGTGTGTGTGTGTGTGTGTAACTGAATCAAATTCTTTCTGCTTCTCCCAGCTCTAGGCTACTGAGAATCTGGACTGCTGCTGCCTGGACAATGAGTTTATTAGTGATTTTTTTCATGTGTGTACTCACCACACTTTACTTACTCTTTGCCTGCTCAGGGGCTTGTAGTTTTCCCCCAACTCTGCTACTGTAAACAACACTGTGCTGAACATCCTTGTAAATGCCCTTGGGGAAACCTCTAAAAAGTATCTCTTTTTAAAATATCAGAGAGTATATGCCACTTGTATTTCACTACATACTTCCAGACTGTCTTCCAAATTACTGAACTAATTCATATTTCCACCAGCAGTGAGCAACAGTTCCCACTTCCTCATATCTTCACCAACACTTAATACTATGCACCTTTTTAATGGTTGCTATTTTAATTCGTATAAGGTGGTACCTCATTATTTTTTCTACAATTAAGTAGACATTAAGCTTTCCTGAAATATGTGCTCAATCTTTGGCTTCTTTTATGAATTGCCTTTTCATTCCCCTGGCCCATTTTTCTATTGATTTTTTTGTGTGGGTTTTTTTCTTTTTTCTTTTTTTTCTTTTTGAGACAGTCTTGCTCTGTCACCCGGGTTGGAGTGCAGTGGCACAATCTTGGCTCACTGCAACCTCCTCCTCCAGAGTTCAAGCGATTCTCCAGCCTCAGTCTCCTGAGTAGCTAGGATTATAAGTATGTCCCACCACACATCTGGCTAATTTTTGTATTTTTAGTAGAGATGAGGTTTCACCATGTTGGCCAGGCTGATCCTGAACTCCTGACCTCAAGTGATCCACCCGCACCAGCCTCCCAAAGTGCTGGGATTAAAGGCATGAGCCACCATGCTCGACTGTCTTTTTTTTTTTTTTTTTTAATTTGCGGAAGTATTTTTGCATATTCCTGGAATAAACTGCTTTTTTATTTTATAAGCAGCAATTATCTCCCCCCATCTGCTACTCAACTGTTAATTCTATCTACTATGTCCTTGGTTTAACAGAGATTCTTAATTTTGATATAGTCCAATGTATCTTTTCTTCTCCTTTGCTATGGGATCAGCTTCAAGTTTTTCTCAACACTAGGCCACAAAGACAAGTGCCTACCTTTTCTTCAATTAGCCTAACAGTTTTGTCTTTTATCATTAGCTCTGAGATGCTGCTGAATTCCAGATTTGTATATGTTGTAACGGAGGAGTTTTTTCTCCATATACTGAACCAGTTTTCCCAAAATCTTGTTCTACATAATCCAATTGTGTTATATTCTTTCCATTTAATCTAGTTGCCTCTTCTACAACACCACACTTTTTTTTTAAATTAATGTTTTATCAAAATATGGTTTACAGTCTGGTAGGGCGAGTCTTCCTATATTAACTTTTTTCCCTAAAGTGACTTACAATTCATGAAAAATTATTCCTCCACATACATTTTAGAATAAGTTTGTTAAGGTCCTCAAAGAAATTGAGCTGTAATTTATATTTAGTTTGTAGTTAATTTGTAGGTTCAATTGGGAAGAACTGGTACTTTTATGGTTTTTTGTTTTTGTTTTAGTTTGCTTGTTTACTTTGAGATGGAGTCTCACTCTGTTACCCAGGCTGGAGTGCAGTGGCGCAGTCTTGGCTCGCTGCAACCAACTAAAAATACAAAAATTAGCCAAACATGGTGGCACACACCTGTAATCCCAGCTACTCGGGAGGCTGAGGCAAGAGAATTGCTTGAACCTGGAAGGCGGATGTTGCAGTGAGCCGAGATTGCACCACTGCACTCCAGCCTGGCAAACAGAGAGATACTCTGTCTCAAAAGAAAAAAAGAAAAAGAAAGTTGAGGCTTCCTGAAGCTACACACCACACACCCCACACCCCCATCCACCACCCACCGAGTGGTAGAGTCCTGCAGCTCAGCAGACCACCTCCTCACCAAAACCTGTGTTTGCTCTCTTCTAGTATGGAGGGACTGAATCAAGGTCAGGTTCAGACCCAGCCTCTGAGGAGGGACCTGAACTGGCCTGGGGAGCTACACCTTGGGGGCTTTCTCAGGAGCCAGCAGAGAAGCCCCGGGCACTAGCCTGGGGATGGAGCTGCAGCGATGAGGACCGGGAGGCTGGAACCACCCCGCCTCACTCCCAGCGCAGCTCAGCCCAGCCCAGCCCAGAAAGGGCCCAACCCTGTGATTGGTCCTTGGGTACCTGTTGCCAGGAATTGAGGCCAAGAAAATGAGAAGGAAGGAAGGGAGTGAGTAGGTCCAGTGAGGACGGAGGTGAAATTTATATCTCTGCCAGGGACTTGGGGCCTGCACCGCCATGGACACCACCAGGTACAGCAAGTGGGGCTGGGGCGGCAGCTCAGAGGAGGTCCCTGGAGGTATGAGCAACCAGACTGCCTCATCCCTGTCCCAGTGTCTGGGGTTTGATGGGGGAGGGGAGGGAAGAGCCAAGACAGGTCAGGGTCGTGGGTGCAGGAGACACACCACAGGCCACATAGCCAGTTGGACCAGGGTCCAGTTCCCACTCTGCCACTTAGAAGCTGTGTGACCACAGGCAAGTTACTTAACTTCTCTGAATCTCAGTTTCCTGGGAGGAACCCAGGCCTCCAGGGCTCAGTCCTGGGGGACCCAGCATGCCCTCCTTGTTCTGCCAGGGAGCTGGGGACGCTGGGTGCACTGGAGCCGGAGACCCCTTTTCCTGGCCCTGGCTGTCCTGGTCGCCACAGTCCTGTGGGCTGTGATTCTGAGTATCCTATTGTCCAAGGGTGAGTGACCCTCAATGGGGAAGCGTTGCGTCCGACCCCCCTGGGGACACAAAACCCCCGTTTCGTGGCGCACCAACTGCGCCCTGGCGTCCTGCTCGCGTCTGAGTGTGAGCAGAGTGTGTGTACATCTTCGGGCCATGTGCACTCACGCGTGTGCGCATGGCGTGCTCGTATGTGTGCGAGTCCCCGCGCGTTTGTCTCCCATCGACTTGTTTGCACATCGTGTGCGCTGTACGACTGCCGGCTCGCCCCGTGGTTCCGAGTCGGGGGACCCCGCACCCCCCGGGCGAGGGGAGGATTCCCCAGTCCCTGGACTTGCCTGCAGGAGCCTCTCTCCGCAGCCTTCACGGAGCGCGCGGCGCTGCTCGGCTGCCAGGACCTGCTGAGGACAAACGGTGCGTGCGGAGCCGGACGCCTGGGTCCCCGGGGCATGCGGGGTAGGAGCGTCTGAGACCCCGGAGATGGAGTCTCGGGTGCGTGAGGGACCTATGGTCCCTGAGGCTGGCCCCGGGGTAGGGAAGGGGGACCCTGAGTCCTCCCAAGTGACCCGGCGGGCATGCATTTTGGGGCGGGGGTCGTTCCAGCCTCCAAGCAGACGGCGGCACTGGGTGCCCTGAAGGAGGAGATCCGAGTCTGCCGCAGCTGCTGTGAGGGGGCGCTGCCGAGGCGGTGGGCGCGCAGGGGCGGGGTCTTGTGGCCGGGATGGGAGGGGGGACGGGGGCGAGGCCTGCGGCGAGCTGGGCGGGACGGGCTGATCTCCGAAGTCCCGCCCCATCCTCGCGGTCCTCGCCCCTCTCGTCCAGCAGCTCTCAGGCTGGCGGACGCAGACGCAGCTGCAGACCACGCGCTCGGAGCTTGGGAGGCGCAGGCAAAGCTGATGGAGCCGGAGAGCGCCCTGCGGGAACTGCTTGAGCGCTGTGAGAGCCCGCCGCGACGCCAGCCCTGAGTCCTGGCCTTGTGCCCCGACCCCGACCCCGTCCTCGTCCTGAGTGCTGACCGCTGACCCCGATCATGCACCCCGTCCTGACCCTGACGCTGCACTCTGACCTTGACTGCCACTCCTAGAGCCGGCCACGCCCGGACCCTGCCCAGTTGTAACCGTCCTTGACCCTGTGCCATCCTGGTCGCCGGCACCGAGGGTACAATGACTACGGACAGGAGTCCTGACCATTAGCTAGTCATGATCCTGCTCCTGACCTTGAGCCCAGCCAAAATCCCCATTCCCTTGACCCCGCAGTGACCCAGGGCTTGGCTGAAGCCGGCAGGGACCGCTAGGACGTCCGCTCTGGGCTGTTCCTGGCGCTGGAGGCAGTGAGGCTGCAGAACAGTGAGGGTGACGGGGAAAGGGGGTAGCGGGGGGGGAAGGGGGATGGGAGGGTGTAAGTGGACCCTGCCCGTGTGCCTCGCCGGCCCCCCTCTTTGACCCTGGCCTGGTCCTGTGGTTCCACCCCTGGGCCCTTGGGGCCAAACCCCTACCCCCTGCATCCTCTCGGTTTGCTCGACCTCTGTGACCCTCGCCACCCCGCAGGTTCCTGTGAGCCGGGTCCCACGTCGTGGCTGCCCTTCGGGAGCTCCTGCTACTATTTCTCTGTGCCGAAGACCCACGTGGGCAGAGGCGCAAGGCCACTGCGCCGATGCCAGCGCACATCTGTAGGGGGCCTAGAGGAGCAGGTGTGCAGGAGAAGGGGGCGTTCACCCGAGGGGGCGTGGCCGGGCGGTGGGGTGGTGTGGGAGGGGGCAGGACTCTGCAGGCTCAGGTGTCTCCTCCTTTCTAGGGCTTCCTGAGTCATCACACTAGCGCCCTTGAATACTGGATCGGCCGCAAGGCGGTGCAACACTTGTGCAAGGTTCAGGGCTCCTCGTGGGTGGACAGAGTCCCACTCAGCTTCAGGTAGGGGAAGGGCTCCTGGTGAAACCTGGGGGCCACAGGTTAGACTCTAGAGGACATGCTTTGAGGCCGAGGCGGGCGGATCACCTGAGGTCAGGAGTTCAAGACCAGCATGTGAAACGTGACGAAACCCCGTCTCAACAAAAAAATATAAAAAATTAGCCAGGTGTGGCCGGGCGTGGTGGCTCA